TTGTTTTCGAAAGTTTGCAAAGATCTACGTTAAAGAATATTTCTTATTCATGATTTACAATAATTCTATGAAGTTTCATTGTATGTATATGCAAGTTGTTAGAACAAACGCCACTGGAAAAAATATATAGTCCAATAAATAGTAATTTATTTTTTCATCTGATTTACTTGTAATTACCACAATTCAAAAACAATCTACTTAAAATCTGTGTTACAACTAACATAGCATCAAAACTACAGAGAAATGGACCGATTCTCATTCCATAGACAAATGTGGGTCACGTAGATAAACTTGATAAAGAAAAGATATATTAGGTATGTCAAAGTTTCAATTGAATAATTGTTTAAATAAAATTTGAAACTACATACCTTTAAAATATTTACATGTAAATGCAATAAATAACTTTTTTTGCAATATTTTTCATCACATTTCTACAGCGGACTAAGGCATTAATTGCTTTTTTGTCATAACTGACATTTCATAGGTTATTTACTAAATAGATTGATTGTGATGTTTGCAATTTATAAATTATTTTCTGTGTTAATTAAAACATTCTTTGTTTTTAATTCCTTACAAAAGTGTCATAAAAATAAATATGAATCTGGAGGCACGATGTGTGAAGTGCTTCTTATCATCATTTCAGGAATAGCATGATTAGCCATTACAAACAATACAGTTGTAAAGATTGACTTTATATTGAAAAAGAAAGAAACACTTGATAAATTAATTACGTTACACAATAGATAAAACTGAATATAAGTAAATGAAAATTCAAACTTTCTTTACACTGAAGATAGGACAATTACAAAAAATATTAAATCTATAAGCCGGTAGACAAAACACATATATGGTTGAAAATAATTGTATTGATTTCAATAAATAATAATATACTTTCTTCATATGTTTTTCTTAACAAAAGTGAATAAAACACTTATTCACTTGTCCTTCTTAAATTGATATTATTAACTAATATAGCAATTAATATCAAATATTCACAACAGCATATGGCCATAAACAAATTTCCAATTAGAAGTACAAAACCAAAATAAATAAAAGGATAACAGAAAGATGGGGGTCATGCAGATAAATTAAATAACATTGAACATGTTGAACAAAATTTGAGAAACGTTACAGTTTTCGAATGAATATTGTTGAACATGCTGCACGAGGAAGCTCGCCGATTGATTATTGCTTCTCAAATAAATATTTATGCTAAAAAGTTAAAACTTAATGATGTTAGTAGTAAACGTTCATATATATCGATATGTTTAAGCTTTGAAAGAAAGGCATTTAGACATATACGCGCCGTATGCAATCAAAATTGATTTGAAATAATCTATTTATAACTTTATTTACTGCTTAGCATCTTTTCGATGATTAATGCAATAACAACCATCTCGTTCGAAAACATAACCAAATGCTTTTAATGACGACTGCAATGTAATTAATAATTTTCCATTATTGCAATTTACAGTAAATAGGGTTATGGGAAAACATGTCAAAGACTACTTGAACTTTAAATCAATAAAATTGCTTGCCATGGAAATAATATACACTTGAATCATTTTGAATTCATTCATAGTAATTTTGTTTCATTATTTTTTGTTTATTTTACTTTACTCTCGATTCTTTTTTATATTTTTAATCAAATTATTTCTACCAGCTGCCAATAGGGAAATTTGTATTAATGTATATGCTATTTGTTTGCAACTCAGTTATTGATATTGTGAATATACAAGCAAAGGGGTTTAGTTTAAAGATCGGAATGAAATTAAAAATGCATATAATGACAAATTTGAACGGCATGTTTACTTATTCTTTGTATACAAGTGAACGTAGAAATTTATGCATGGTACAACTTATTTTGATTTACTATAATAGTAGATTTATTGTAAAGGATCTGAACCCGGATTTTTAATGATGAATGTTAAACTTTGTTCAAGTATTTTTAATGTTTTAAGTCGTAAATAATTTGCAACATGTGTCGGCCTCATCCAATTGTGAGGAAATGTTCTTATGTTCACAGTTATATGTAAGCTTCAAAGTTGTCTGCTAAATGTCGTGATTCAATTGTATAAAATTAAGATGTGTAGTTTGTATTTCGACGATTCGTACTACTTTAACGGAAAATTAAAGATATGTTGTTACAGTAGAAAAATAAACCTTATTTCATCTGGTCGCTATCAATAGAATTTCACATGACCTAACAAATGATATGGATAAGACGTATGGTTCAAATGTTTGATATATTATTAAAGGTTGGATACATTACCATTATCATACACAAGGAATTATATCTTGATTAAAGTTATGCTTTTTTTCTAATACAGTTGAGCTGAATTGACTGTATACTTTAAAAGATTGAATGTTATGATTGTGATTGATCAACAGTTAAATATTGGAAAATGTTAACGATAAAAGGACCGAATCGATAAAAGTGCAGAAATTCCTAGTTCTAAATCCAATCTCTAAAAGGTCATTTTGGTCATGTCATTGCAAAAGTACTAGTATTTCTTAAAGATTTAATGAACATGAGAATTAGCTGTTTTGTCAAAATGTTTGTCTTAATAAAATGCAGGTCAATATTGAAAAAGAGTATGGGTTACCTGGGGTCTAGAACTAGGTCACACAGCCTTAATCTGAAAAAAAAAATTGTTTCACAATCTGACTCTTCTTACAATTTATAAGCTTATTAAAAGACGTTAAAATGTGCTTATGACAAATTAAATCTGCTCCCGGTTAATCAGCAATTCATAATCAAGTGATACATATCTTAAATGTTTCCTTATGCTTCATAAAACATTTCAAAGGGAAAAGATGCGATTAAATATAATTATTTTCAAAATGTAGAAAAGGTGTCCTTTTATATGGGTTTTCCGCCAGTGTTTGGTGGTTATGTAATACACGGTTGGCTAGTGCTCAAGGAAACTTTAAACTTGCATAAACATAATAAAAGTGGCCAATCTGAGTCAGATGATGGATGTTTTAAGTATTTCCTTTTGTTTTGAATAACTAAATAAACCAATAAGATGCATTTGAAACAGCAAATGATGTAAGATTAATTTTTGACCATGGGGCAAATATATAGATAAAATTTTACGTGAATACTATGTTTTGGTGAAACAAACGTAAGTAATGGGTGGGTACAAGATACCTATACTCAAATTTTATACCCCATATGGAATTAATGTAGTATACATTAAACCCGTGTTTATGTTGACCCTACACCGAAATAAAAGAAAAACAATAGTAAAATGTGTTGCTGTATAAGGGGTATTTCTTAGTTGTATTATTATTTGTTTTATAAATTAATTATTGATTAACTTATTTATATTGTTCAAAATATGAAGCATCATTTCAATAACATACATAACAAAACGCATTATAGGAAATTGCAACGTAAACTAACAGCTCGCATTATAATCGTAGTGACAGTTGTTGAAAAATTATCTCGGTAAATTATAGATATATAACTTGCGAATATTACATTTACCGTAGCCATTTTCACTACATACCAAACACAAAACCATAACATTAAAATTCGAATTGTTTACAACCCAGCACTTGCAAAGGTATTATATGACATTAGGATATTTATGATGAACAACTGTTTAGATAGAGTGAAGGGAAACGGGGTCAAGTTTTCTATAATATAGAAATACATAAAAATAATGCAACTGAAGTAATATCTGAGAATAATGGCTGTTTTTTGTCGTTTGTTTGTGTGCTACTTTTTGCTTTTGTATTCCATCTTAAGTGAATAAGGTGTCGAGAAACATCATTGTTTAACTGTGTTTACCGTTATACCTCATATTAAAATACATGTAAACATGGCACAATCCTGTCACTTGGCGCGCTTTAGCAATCAATATCATAATATAACTGCGTCATCTTTATGCCATTGTGGCCAAACAGAAAATAACTATATTTTTTCTTCGGATGTACACAATTTGACTCAGCTCGACGATAGCTTCTTCACAGTTTGAATAATGTTGACATTGATTTAAATGTTACTTCAAGTCGTTCCTGACCTTTCTGATCAAAATTACAACATAATTTTTCACACATAGACACTCACATCCAAGGCACAAAATAATTAATTCAACACTCACAACATATAACCATCAATTCTTTTTATTTGAGGGACCTCATAATTATTTTTTCCCGTTTTTACTATCTTTAATCTGTCTGTGATCTTTACAAACACCATTCCACCTTTATGTTTATAAAGGTAAATGTATAAATAATTATTCGAAAACATCATATATTCATTCCTAATGTATTAGATGACTATATTATGTTGCTTGAAGCATTTAAATACATATCTATGCTCTCTGTTTTCTAATATAAACTCAATGGTTTTTGTTATGTGTAATATTCGTCCCAGAATATTTAAATTGTAATGACTTAAGCGCCTATTGTATGTCAATAACTTAAGGAGGAGAATTTCATATGACATTTTATCGTTCATTCTTATCTAATTTTTCAGAATATTTGAAATGCTGTGTGTATATTGTAAATTGTAGCATGTATGTTTAATCTGAGAAATAAAATATGATTTAACTAAACTTATAAATATCAAGTAAGCGGATAATGTAATTTCATTATTCTGTGCAGTCAGGTGGTGTGCTAAATGTCACTACAGAACGATTGCAAATTACAGGGTCGGTTATCAAATATAAAAATAAACATCTCAAGGTAATGATTATGCAATAGAAGCTCCTCCGTTTACAAAAACAGAAGTGCTCACAAAGTAAGACTCCGCAATAACTCCGATATTTCTAAAGCAACATGGATCAGCATTTTCATTCCATAGGTTGTTGTAAATATCTATACTTTCATTGAATAGCCAAGTTTACTCCAACAATATTTCATTTTTTTTTTTCGAAAATCAAAAAGAAAGGATAAACTAAAATGTTGAAACATTTAAATAATTGCAAATCTATTATTTTTCTTTCCTTCTTCCTTGTTGTCAAAGTCGTGTAATATATTTTGAAAGTGTTTCCTTATTCGTTTCCTTGTGTTGATTTATAAAAGGAACACACCGTCTATATTTCATTATAATTTGAATCGCCTGTGTTCAAGAAAGGAACTTTTAATTTCTATTTTATAGCTTTAGTAGCATAATGGTAAGTGTTAAATTCTACTCATTACTTTTTTAAACAATCTGTATTCGCTGTTTTGTTTTTACTTTTAATTTGTTCTATCTTTTGTTAATTATCTTCGATTTTCATTTCAATCTATTTATATCATTTTTTTCGTCGGAGATGTATTGACTTGATGTATTTAAGTCTTAGTTTTTTTAACGTGTATATAATGACGTTAACAATTTTATTACAAGTGCGGCGAGTCGGCCAGCCAGTCATTGTTAAAAATAGCTATGGATAACTAGTGTCTGTGGTAATAAATTGATGACGTCACAAAATACAAGTTTAAATAAGTTAGATATGTAAGGTCAATTATCACGAAGGAAATGCAACGGCCGCTGTGAGGTGAGGGACCGAAAAGCCAGAGACCCATAGATTAAAAACGTGATAAATAATTCTTGTGCAGTGTTGAAATATATAAAATAATAGCATTTAAGAGATAACAAACTCCATATTTTAAATATTTTTGGTAGGGCTTTCAATGCTTGTGCATATCGACAGGCGAATATTCTTATTCTATTATAAACATATGAAATAACATGACGCCATGACAAAATGTTAAATGACAACATTTACCGGTTATTTATACAGTTAATATAATATTACGGACAATTAGTAAAATATGAACAATCATGCAGTAAGATAACGATATATATGGCAACATTTAATGTGGTGATACCCAATCTTTACTGTGAAAACATTGATTGATATAAAACCATACGTCTGGATACAAACGCAAGCGTTTCCGTTATATGTAAACATTAAAAAATTAAAATAAATTTGATGTTCAAGAACATAAATGACTTGTCAAACAAACATGAGCATTGACAAGAGAACGGACATTTATATTATTTTGGATTAATCGAGTTTTGTTCTTCTTTTTTCTCTAAAATACATATTTGTATATAAATATATATAAATCGTTTAAGCACATATTTGAAACTTGATTCGGACCATGAATGAAGCAAAACAGATAGTATGACATTGATTAAAGCAAAACATTTATACATTTTGTCCGCTCCAAGTGAAACATTAATCTATCAGCAAGAATCAGCAAGTGTCACAATAAATCAAATTCCACTTTTTGAACAGGACGTGAAACTTGTGTTGCTTTTCCTTGTCCTCATCAACCAGATGTCGGTGGGAAGCTGTTGTGCGAAGAAAAAGAGTGGGGGAAAAAGTGCCCCAAGATGTAAAGTTAAAGTTATTTTGGAATGTGACGTTTTAAGAAAACGGAGAGCTATAGATTCAACAAATATGACGGAAAGAGAGCTTTTTCAAAGGGTTGCTTCTCTTTATCAATTTTATCAATATTTTACAGTATTATTCTCTCTTACAATATTGCATAATTAAACTTAGATAGTGAAATGATAAATATCACTATAATTGACTTAAATACATAAAATACAAAACTTGTCAGAAATATTGATTTTAAAAGTAGCAAAAGTCAATGCATGTAATTGCTAATTCATTTCAACAGCCCATCGGGAAAATAAGAATAACATTACATATAATGAAGTGTTGTAATAATCTCTTTGTTTTCCTATGTCAGATTGGAACAGAATTGAACATTATACCTGTAGAGAACCAATGCAAGTTTGAAACCTATGACAGAGATGGAGATGAAATGATCAAGCAAGAGGAATTAGAAGCCATATTTGGGATCAGAAAAGAAACGAAAGATCTTATTGCTTTCATGGACTTTAAAGATAGTTTGTAACATTCTTGTCTTTTCTTTAAGATAACAGAATGCAGTCAATTCTAAGAATGTCTTTATAACTTGATTTACAAATTCTAAACACGAATTCACAATCTTTGGCATTTAAAATGCACTTACGCTTGTCTTCGACATATAATGGAATCGTTTTTGTTCTATTACATTATAATAATACAGATATCTTACTTTTCTGTATGAATGAACGTATGTGTAGTTTTTAACAAGGTTTTGTAATTTTATTTACAGATGATGGTATGATAAGTAAGGACGAATTTTGTGTCGCTGGCCCTCATCTTATAAAGGAATGTGAAGGTTGCATATGCGTCAAAATGAATCAGACTGACACACTTTAAATCTGGACCGTCGTTTATAAGAAAATGTTGTTGTTTTTAAATTATTTGTTTATGCTTTGCTTTGTTTCCTATGCTAAATCAATACCAAAGAACGTACATTGTGTGTCAATTTAAGATGCCAATGTTGGCGGGTGTCCAAATCATTATTTATACGTCCAGTAAAATACCACTTGAATATTTTAAGGACACTTTTGTCGCTGTCATGTTTGATATCTTGTTTTCTTTTACCATTACTGTAGGGGCACTATTTTAACATAAACGGAAAAACTTATTTCGCGCATTGTCGGGTAAAATATTTATGTTTCAGTCTATAATACCATATGTGCGCGTGGAAAGTAAACGTTTAAAGATGTCTAAAACTTTACTGTTGCTCACAATATACAATTTTATCAGAAAAGGAATGTGTTGTTCTAAATTTCACTTAACTTGAAGTACAATTTTACAACTATTCGGATTTTAATAAATGTCAATCGGTGTAAGACAGCCAATAATTTACACTCTATGATATGCAAAATACTGGACAGGATTTTTCTCTATAGCATCTTAAGTATTTGTATTGATGTTTCTTGTTCTATAATTGTGCTTTCTTATCTTCTTTATTTATTTTATTGAATTTGCTTTGTAAACTCAGAATCTGTTTTTCTTAATATCATACAATTGGCATGTTATTATGCACATTTTTCATTTGTATAAATATAATTCCATATGAAGATATTTCTTGCATCGTACTAGGTGTGATTCAAAAGTTGTTATCACTTTAATGACAACCAATATATATTATTAAGAAACAGTGCAACAACTAAGGTTGGTCTTATACGGACACGTGAATTACAAAATGTCATGTTAAATTAAATACAAAAATATATTAACACATCAAACACAACAAACTCGTGCTCGTGCAGGAAGGAAAATGAAGCGATAATTCTGGCGTTCGCAACTATTCGTAATGCTGGCCTTTGCCTGGTGTCCTCGAAATCGGTTCAAATAGACAAAACGTCTGTAAAAAAATTCACACCACATGATACGTTTTCTTTTACCATTACTGTAGGGGCACTATTTTAACATAAACGGAAAAACTTATTTCGCGCATTATCGGGTAAACTATTAATGTTTCAGTGTATACAGTAAAAACTCTGAAAACCGGACCCTGTCCGGACTTGACCAAAAGTCCGGTTTTCAGAGGATTCCGGTTTTCAGAGGTTTTATACATTTATTGATAATTATGCTGTGTTTGAACAATGACTTTGTTCAATCGTTTTGTATTTACTTTTTAACACTTTTGTCTAAGTCATAGTTTTATTTCTTTTTGCAATAAATGTCTTAAGTAATTTTATTATGCAAATCCATGAATATAATTCAGAAAATCAGAAATTAAAACACCACATTGTTTGAAATATATCAAAATATCTTTTTCATTAGCTTTGGAATATGTAATTAATGGAATTAATACTATTTATACTATTAGTATTTCTGCATATACATGTAATTGATATCAAAACAAATATAACTTCAAGATCAAATTTAAAGCAAAACAGAAATCATTGAAAAAAAGTTAACCAACTCTTTTAGACATTTTACATTAAAAAACATAACACATTAAAAACATTTTTGAAAAATCATATCTTTATATGATGATAGAGCTATAATTTATTTGACAATAAGAAATTAACATACACTGACAAGTGTTTTCACACCTGCATAGATAAAAGGAGATGACCATTACCTTGTAATTGAACATGTCACCTGTTGAGATTATGTTTAGATCTACATTAAAGTACACAGAAAGTTAAATTGCTGTCCGGTTTTCAGATGATTTTTGATGCATGTTCAGCATAAGAAGCCATAGAAAATCGTCCGGTTTTCGGAATTCAGAGGTTCTGTAATACCATATGTGCGCGTGGAAAGTAATCGTTTAAAGATGTCTAAAACTTTACTGTTGCTCACAATATACAATTTTATCAAGTCGAGAACATTTTGTCTTTTACGTGCGGTTTTCTAAAATAATAGAATACTAAAAACATAACCAGGGAAAATTACTTTAAACATTGCGTGCGGAGGGATTCATTAAAACGATGAAATTTATTGAATGTCAAAATGGTTGAACCCTTTAAGGGGTTAGGTATTGATGGTTTATTAGTGTTAAACAAAATTGAGTCAATTTGTCATGTAATTGGGGCAATAGCAAAATTTATTTAATCATTCTCGTATATACAGGTATTTGTATGTAAGAATTTTATAAAAAAGCATGTTTGACTTTTAGATAGGATAACATTTACAACTCATATATGCATTCGCTTTTAATTCAAACATTGCCAAAGTTAAGAATATTTAGATGTATTATACAAAATAATAAGATATAATTCACCATGAGCTTGCAATCGTTATTTTAAAAACTTATATATTTATAAAGAGACCGTGCCTTTAAACATAACATATATCTTAGACAATTGTTGAAAAAATAACATCCAATGCCAAAGAAACATTAAGTTAGCAACAATATTTCTATTAATAAATTTTTACCTTTCTAAATTAAATGCATTTATCTGAAAAAGAATTTGTTTGTCATTAAATATGAGCAAATCAAGATTATAAAAGGTTCAAGAATTTAAATTTGTTCTTCTAGATATTTTCAACACTTTTATGTTTAAAGAGTACAAATGGACGATGAAATAAAATGTGTACGGTCAACAATGTTGTTTTTTATTGAAATAATTGTATCGCTCCAAAATAAAGGAGATAAATATGATATTTCATTCAAGGTCATGAGTGCCATGTTTGTTAGAAACCTATACTGTAACGAATGTCGCCGAAATAAAGATGGCAATTCACAAAGCATAAACATATCTGAACTTTTGAATAACATAAAAAATAATGCAACAAAAAATGCAATGCATGGTGACGTTCTCAGAGTCACCATAACACCATCCTAAATTGTATAAGTAAATTTCAATCATCGAAAGTCTTGTGCAAAACTTTCAAAACGAAACAAAGTAACTCTGATTAATGCACACACTGTATGCACTTCATTGAACAAAATCTGAAGGACATACACAAGTTTCGACAAGTTTTAGAAATGGACAAAATCTGAAAGACATACAAAAATTTTGGCGTAGAAATGTCGAGTTTTGCCAATTATATCGCTAAACACAATGAAACTGATCAGAACTAATATACAAAAGATAAAGGACTATAGAAATAGTGATAAGCACTCCTCCAATGGTGTGTTTTATTGAAAAGAAACGAAAAACTAATATACGCTATACCATTTTTACGCAAAAACTTACAAATGAGTGAGAATTGGTTTAGTTTAAATATGGTTAATTTCGTGAGAAATCACAGTATATTTACAGATAATAGCAGTAATAATGCACACACTACGAATATGAATTGTTACAAAAAAGATTAGGTCCGAAACTGTGCTCAAGAAGGCCATCTACGTCAATATTTACAGTGCATAAAATACGGTATGACACTACACGTTACTTGCTTGAAATATATCTGATTTTACGTGTTTTTAAGTCATCATAGTCAAAATCGTTTTAAGCATCAAGTTATGATATAATTGGTATAATAATAGATGGAAATTTCCTGTTTAGCCAAGCACATTTACATGTATGTGTACACTGTAGCATATACATCACAGTATTTTGAGTTACCGGAAAGGAATTATCTACCCTAAAAATTAAAAATTATTGAATTAGTGGCAGATAGATCACATTGTGTCCACGTTCAGCATATAATATGTATTTAACGTGCTTTTTTAGTCTTGATAACTCTGCGAAGAAAATATGTGTGAACTTGTTCTAATATATTGAACTTCTAAATACCTATATTACACTCCCGTGTGTTAGAATAAGGACTGTATCATCAAAAGACATCAGTTGCAGGTCGGTAGGAATGTCAAGTTTACTGATCCTAAAATACATCGGTTGCACTGTTTAATAACACGTTAGATATGTTTCAAAATACAAAAGACGCAGAAGTTCAAGAAAACAACATCTAAAAGTTATACTTTTTCACCGTTACACAAGGTAAATCAGTTACTTTGAAATTCTATTTACAGGGCTTTTTCTTATAAATAATCAAAAATCAAAACTTTAACACTAAATTGTCGACATATTTTCACCTTTTTCGGATAACGCTTGTGAAGGTAGCTGGCATTGGCACTTGAATAAACTTCAGAAAAACACATTCTGAATAACATTGAGGATTCTTTTCAATATGTATAAAGTGTATGCTGAAAGCGAATACAATAAATCAAACATAAAATAGGTTAAATAAATAATTAAAAAAAAAAAAAAAAAAAAAAAACACTGAATTGTTGGAAAATTGAGATGGAAAAGGTTCAATTTACGGAAAGAAAAGAAGATAAAAAAAGTTTTTTTTACATATCTGCATATTGACAACAAAATGCTGGTATGCCTTAGAACCGACCCTTTGTTATTTTATATAATACATTTTTAATACAAAATAGGACATAGAAGATAGGTAATTAGCACAGACAGTTTATTGTTTTCAACTTACTTCTTATAGTATAATGATTTGATGTAATACAAGAACAGATTCCTAAATTATACAGGAAAAACCTTGACTATGACGGTAAACAACAATTATGAGAATTTTCCACTTTTGTTTAAAAGTCCGGGAAAACGATATCCCTGGTTTTGATTCCCACAAAAGTGACACCAATACTTTTCAAATGTGTCATCTGTACTGATTAGATCAAAGCGGACTCGGGGGCACGTCACCTACAATCTAGTTTTTATATAAGTAGCATCATAATAAAATATGAATGCCGTGAAATTGAAAAAGACAATTTTGTTTATTTGAAATGAATTATAGAACATTGTTTATGTTATTGACAATTGCTTAAAACTATATTGTTTTAGATGAATTTTGTATTGATACATTATTTTTCTATCTCTGTTGATAAATATATGAAAAGTCTTTAATTTACTATGCCTTTGATAAATATGTGATTATTTTGTTTCGCTTTGACCGTTTACTGTTTTTAGAGTCCTTATTTATATTAGATATGTTGCAATGTTAAAACAATCTCCTACTGTTTAAACTATACAGTAGAATCCCTACTTAAGACAACCCCGAAATTATGACCGTCCTGCCTTTAAGACCATTGTTTGTTTAAAGTACAGAATTTTCTGTTCTTTATGTCAATTGTTACATGATCCAGAATTAAGACCACCCGCTTATCCACTTTTAAGTCCACTAGACCAAACAATCCCAATTGTTTGTTTTGTTTTTATTTTGACCCCACTGTTGAGACTACTGATTTAAAGTCAATACCTACCTATATCTTAAATTAGTTGTTATGTTGTTATTATCTGTTTGAATGCCCTTAGGCATGATACTCGATTTCATAAGGTGTCATAAACACCTTATATCATTTGGATATTGTATGATATAATGAGAAAGTTTATTTTAGAGTGGTTGAATGCTGCTTTAACATTAATTATGCGAATAATTAATTTTTTATTTAATGCGAGAATAATTATGTACATCATATAATAATTAATAATGAAATCAGACCAAATAGAATTTGATACTAAATTTCTTTCTTCCCATCAGATGTTAATCATAACATACTTTTATATAGTATTTGTAGGTTAAAGTACATAATTTTTGTTCATACAAAATGACAAAATAGACCATGGTCAAAAAGTGGGTTAGCAATGATAAGAATATTCACAATTAAGAATACCACGACATTAAGACCACTTTGATTCAGTCCCGACGGTGGTCTTGATTGAGTGTTTTACTGTACGTTGTTTTGGAACGGTTTTTCCCATTTTTTTAGTACAGAAAAAATTCTTTCAAAACTATTTTTTTATCAATACTTGTTTGTGTAAAAAGATATTCTGTTTGCACATTAAAGGGATACTAAGGCAAATAAATTACAACAATATTAAAACGATTTAATGTATTCAAATCACGCTACAATAACAGATAGTATAGATAATATATTATCGGAACAAGTATAAGTCATTTATTCGACATATTAATTAACGTTTATAGAGTTCATTGTGGCAACTATTGTGAAATCTTGACGCTCTAACCTGATCTACGTGGGTCAAGTAAGGAAACCACTATTTTATTCATTATAAGGTTTTATGATCCTATGACTGCATTGTGTATTCATTTCGAGGAAATTTACAGAATATTAAATGAAAAAATCAAAATGAAGAAATAAAAATTGTGCCTGTGTTTCCCTTTAAGGGCTCCATTTGATCAATTTGCCTCTTTATTCATATTTTTGTAAACGACAACTGTTACAACAAAAACAAAAATAAATAATCAACAACAAAAAATCAACACTATTGTGACTGAAACGTTTTTTAAACTATGTTCTTCTTTTAATATCCAATGCGATTTTCATGACAGTTTTAATTATATGAATTGTTGTGAAAAAAAAACAACACAAAATGTTTGTTACATATCTGCTTAATTAGTATTGCTTATTGTCCGGTGACATCTTCTTTTCAAGTGGCAAATATCTTAATAAATTCCTTACATCTTTTGAATATTCTGCAGTCCCGGAAAAAAGAAAATTAAACAACTGATTGTCCTCCTTCTTTATAAAATAATTTTTGATTAGTTCTTAAGGAAAAAATAACTTGCTTAACATAATTATTAAGTGGCCACCGTAATAGATAGTTTAAGTATTTCCTTAACAGTCTTGAATCACAGTTGAATAACACAAATGCACTTGAGGTTACCCACGTAGAAAACAAATTGACTAAAGACGAAAGTAATATAAAGTTTGCATTTGTTTTAGTCAGTTAAATGTTTGATAGTGAAGGGTCTTGCACAAATTATGCTCCCATTTCTAGACGAAACATAGTTGTTTTTGTAAAATGCATCTTATTCATTATAAAGCAAATAAAAAGGATATTCCATCGTTTTATTAATGTCCTTGAAGAATTTTTGTTCGCCCTTAATTTAATCCCTCTTTATCACGTTGTATAGTACAAGACAGGGTCACTTTGAAAATATATAATTTACAAAAATAGCAAATATGTATCAATTTTCTATTTTCTATTGAAATATGTACACTTATTTCAGGACTTTAATGAGTCAGTGTGACGATGTTTCCAGATTCGACCTTAACCTGAGGTAGTCCAAAACTGCGCTCTGCACATCATCTAAGTAATATAAATATTTCTGCTCAATAGATTTAATATCATACAGTCCGTTTAAAAGAAAGTTAGTTTACACTAAATTTTGAAATTGTTACAAAATGACTAAGTGTGACCGCGACCTTGACCTGAGAAAGGACAAACCTGCACTCTGCATATCGTATTATTATGGTTAACATTTCTGCCAAGAAGTGTTTCATTTTTTTCCACCTGTTTCAAAAGATATAGACCGGACACGAAGACTATTTATATAAAAGTCTATATAAATAAATCAATTCAAAGATTTATTGACATTTACATATCTCTTAAATATTTCAGTTGCAGTTGTAATTGAACTGATATTCAACCAACTTCGGAAGTAACTAATAAACAAGTGCTACACTTCATTTGTCTTGTATGGTAATATGGTTATTCCATGGCGTTATATTCAATAAAAAGGTTATACAGTCTGTACAGAAAACTTGAGTATATGTTTCTATCCACACTGAGATTTTGATCATCAACATCATTTAGATAAGTTATGATGTTTTTTGTTTTAGTTTCTTGGGCTTAC